GTCGTCGTAGTAGTAGCGGTAGTAGTGGTGGCAGGAAGCGCACCCACAGCGATGATGCGTGGTGTGCATATTTTGGGTTGAGCGCGCTGGGAATGAGGTGGGGGGGGTCGGGGAGATAATATTGTCCGTTCATATTGTGAACATTGCCGAAACGCTGATATTTACAGCGTTCCTGGCCCTTTGGATGCGGTGGCTCGAAGATGCTTCATGTTTGCAAGATATTCAGTCACACCTGTCCAGTCTTGTTGCGAACATGCCCGAAACATTGGCATGTACAGTGCTTTTGCCGTTTTGTCCTTTGTACAGATGTTGGACACTGCTGGAAAAAACATGCTGTCGCAAGTTTCCGTTCCACATGCCAACGTGCAAAAGCTGGCGGTACCTAAAGCATTGTAGTCGTGGCCTTTGAATGGCAGTTTTCGGCGCGACGATCCCTGCCGTTGCCGTTGATCTTCCCATCTTGAATACGTTCTGAGTACAACGTCATGAAAAAGCAATTCGGCACAAAAGCCGCTCATGAAAATACGAGAGCCATAGATACCACAAAAAAAACTTGTGCCTGCCACAGACGCAGCGCGCTGCAAGGTAGAGGTAGTCGTGGTGGTATTACAATAACAACAACTACTGCTACTACTGCTGNNCTACTACAACTACAACTACAACAACTACAACTACAACTACAACAACAACAACAACAACAACTACTACTACTACTACTACTACTACTACCACTACCACTACTACTACTACAACAACAACTACGACTACTACTACTACTACTACTACTACTACTACTACTGCTACTGCGACTGCGACTGCGACGGCGACTGCGATTGCGACTCTTGTACTCGTGCACACACCGACGAGCAAATGACTGACCAAACCTTGTTGCGCAACCGCAGCTAGTCTTGAGAATACCGACACTAGCCAACCGAACCACCAAACGACGGTCCAACCCAGTGACGGACCGGACCGGACCTATCAGGTATGCAACAAGAAACACCATTCCACACGTACACACCTCCGCTCCGAAGCTTCTCTCACTGAAGCTGGACAAACGTCCAAATCCTGCACAGCACGATAGCGCGCCACGTTTCTAACACTCAGAGAAGTGGGGACCCGCACATGTCCCAAAACCCCTCTGTGCATGTCTGTCAAGCGTGGTAGACATCCGATGCGAGTACTACCAACAAACTGTTAAACAAGAAAGATTCCTACTTCGGGTCTTGAACACCACGACTCTTGCAACTCTTATCATCCGGAACGTATAGTTGTGACAAACATCAACGAACAACGAGTTCAAATATCTTTCCACGACACACTACACCTCGTACCCTAACTTCCAGATTTTCATTATGATTCAACTCCGTAAGTCAAGATTTCGACCTGATGTGAAGGCTATCACTGCCGAGAAGACTGATACAAAAACTCAAGATGCCCTGTCGGCTGAAGGGTTTAAAGTTGCATCTTGAACGAGCTCGTGCAAGCGCAAAGAAACAACGGACGTGAATACTCAATCAGTGAGAGGAGCACAGAGCTTGTTTGCGCTAAAGCCACAACACGAAAAACACGACGCTTCTACCTTAAACTACCATACCACCTGGTGGTCCTGGTCGCCTTGGTCGTGTCGCTGGCGGTTGTCCTGGTCGTCGTGGTCATCCTAATATTCCTGGTGGTCCTCGTGGTCCTGGTCGCCCTGGCTGTCGCTGTCGTCGTGGTCTTAACGGTCGTGGTCGTCAGGGTCAGGGTCGTCCTTCCTTTGGATATGCACGGTGCGTGGTCTTTCACTTTGGGGGGGATCTACGCTGGCATGAACATTATTGATACACCTAAATCGACTTTACAAGGACGCTAGCAAGCAGCAATGTTCAGGCGTCGTCAAAGAAAACCTGGGCATCCGACGGGAAGCGAGGCGGCCGCGGACCCGACGGGTGCCCCACGCTTACCGCGCGAGGGCAATGGCAAAGCGCCTGGAGCCGCTTTGTTTTGTGGTTAGTTGTGCGGCTGTGATTTAGCTGTTGTTAAGTATGTATACATATATATATATATATATACATATATACACACATATATATATATATATATATTTATTTATGTATCTGTGTGTCTTTGTGTCAGTGTCAATGTCTGCCGGTGTGTGTGCGTGCGTGTGTCTACGAGTGTGTGTGTGTGTGTGTGTATATATATATATGTAATTAGACATACGTAGACATTTATATACATATATATATATATATATGTGTGTGTGTGTGTGTGTTTGTTTGTGGGCGTGTGTGTGTGTGTGTGGACGGTCCTCCTTCATGGGCATGGGAGTCACTCTCCATCCGATTTGCGAGCACTTGTGTTTTGATGTCGAAGCAGTTTCACCTTTTGCACAGGCTCATGCTGGTACCTGTGCCAACGAACCTATCCATCATGGGGTAAGCGGAGACTGGTCACCTCCGTGTACCTGCAGTTCGTGACATCGTGACAGCACAAGCTGTACATGGTGACATCCGGTGATATACTCGCTGTGCAACTTTACCAGCAGTCGGTCACTTGTGACATCTTGTACTGTATATGGTGACATCCTGTGATATACTCGCTGTGCAACTTTACCGGCAGTCGGCCTCGCAGATCCCGGAGAGAGAACACACAAGCAACGCTGTCCGTAACTAACTTGTGTATCCTCTTCGAGTCTATTCATCCGGGAGTGCAGACAACGTTATCAAGTGTGCTAAAGCCTACAGGCGCGCAACGGCTTTCCGTCAAGGCGCCGTGGTGGCTTTCATTAGGAAGCAGTCCTCGTTTGAGGATCCGTTCACACCCTTCGGGGAGCATTTCTCTTTCTCTCTCCCATTCACCTCCGTTCTCGCTATAGGTATTGTGAGCCTCCCGATGCGCGAAGTCCGAAGTCCCCTTCATGTGCGATGTTTTGGGCCCCTCATCCTCAGTCTGGATGGGACAGGAGTGACTGCGCAGGCCAGCATATGCATCTGCTAGAGTGGTCCGTGCACGCTCTGCTACCTCCGTTTTTAGTCTGCCCTGCCTTTTTCTACTGCCATGACTCTTGTCTATTCTGCCTTCGCACAGGACTGCATGCGTACCCGACATGGGGTCTACTGCATTAGGGTTTAAAGTGTTTAGGATAAAGTGCTAATGCTTTGTCGCGCAATGATCGGATGGCCTAACTGTTCCCGCAAAAACATACAGCTACAAGACTACGCATTGTATTTTTCTGTTGAGTTGCACCCTAAAACCCAAATGCGAGGTTTTAGGGTTGCTGCTTTTGAGTTTCACCAGGGGTTTTTAGCTCGCATGCGCCCCACTGACAAGGGGCACTGTCTGTGTGGACGGTCCTCGTTCATGGGCTTAGGGAGGTCACTCTCCATCCGATTTGCGAGCACTTGTGTTTTGATGTCGAAGCAAAATTCACCTTTTGCACGGGCCCATGGTGGTACCTGTGCCAACGAAGCTATCCACCATGGGGGAAGCGGAGACTGATCACCTCCGTGTACCTGCAGTTTGTGACATCGTGACAGTACAGTGCTGCATATGGTGACATCCGGTGATATACTCGCTGTGCAACCTTACCAGCAGTCGGCCACTTGTGACGTCGTGACAGTACAAGCTGTATATGGTGACATCCTGTGGTATACTCGCTGTGCAACTTTACCAGCAGTCGGCCATTCAGATCCCGAAGAGAGATCACACAAACAACGCTGTCCGTAACTAGCTTGTGTATCCTCTTCGAGGGAATCCATCCGGGCGTGCAGCCAACATTATCAAGTGTGTGTGTGTGTGCGTGTGTGTGTCTGAGTGTGTCTGTGTCTGTGTCTGTGTCTGCGGGTGTGGCTGTGCGCGTGTGTGTGTGTATGTGGGTGGGTGTGGGTGTGGGCGTGTGGATGCATGTGTGTGTGTGTGTGTGTGCACGCGCGCGCGCACGCGCATGTTTGCTTTCTTTTTGCCGGTGGGTGCGCTTTCAAAGTTATGGTTACATATTTTTGTTGCGCTGCCTGGATTTGGTAAAGGGTTTAGTTGCCCATGCTGATGTCTGGGGTATCGAGTGAACCGTAATTAGACCCCAAGCTTAAGCCGGTACCAAGTTCGGGCTGAAGCATCGGGATCAGGGAATGGACCTTTCATTGGGAACTTGCCGGACCGAGGCTTCTGATGCTGAGGTTTGCGTTTTCCATGGAGTTTATCGCAACGTTAATTCTCGGCAGGCATGTTGACTCAGCATCTCAGCATGACTCAGCTACACTTGGCACAAACTCCTTCAACGCCAACACACTACAAAACATCGATTCTATCAATGTCTGTGGAGGTGAGCACAGGTAGGCAGGTAGGCGGGCAGGCAGGTATAGGGAGGCAGTGGTAGATGGGTAGGAGGTGGGTTTGCTGGTGGGTGGGAGGGAAGGGCTAGGGTAGCAGGTGGATCGGCAGCGAGGTAGGCAGGCAGGCAGGCAGCTAGTACGCATACATAAATAGCAAGTCTCTCTGAATAATATGTATTTCCAGACACACTCAGAACGATAACAGTAAACGACAAGACAGGCGATGCCGACTTATATGCTGTTGTGTACTGCCCAATTGAAACCAAGGGAACATAGCAAACATCGATCGTCGCGATCGCAGTCCTGCCTGCTGCAGGCGCGGATGAGGATTGCGCCTCACATCTCCAAACTGTTTTCTGCGAGCCGCTAGTCCTGATTTAGGGCTTGCTTGATGTTCACGATCGAGGAATGCGGGGTTTCCGACTTCAGGTTGTTGCTCGATGGGTGTTGCATTTCAAGCTTTGTAGCTCTTTATGGTCGAGGGTTCTGGACTGTCCAACTCAAGCGACAAAACCCTGAACAGGCAAAAGCAAACGGTCAGTTGACAACTGCTCAACATTAATTAAGCCGAATACCAAGGCAAAAAAAATGAACATCCACGGGAATAATCGCTTCAATCACACAAAGCCAGACGGCGGGAATAAGCCTACTCATCATCACCAGGGTCACCAGCGCGATCTGCACTGTCATCCTCATCGTTCTCATTCTCCTGCTTACCGTCTTATTCGTCCGAGGCTTTGCTGATTTCGGATGCGGTGCCTATCGCACTCGACAGCAGCAGCCCACATAATTAACAATATACAGATTAACGATAGCAGCAAAGAGTGACTATTTCCCCACTGGTGATAAACTCAATCTCCGTGCCAGTGATACCTATATCTGTCTATACATATTATCATAGATGAACATATATATATATATATACACACACATAAAAACGCATGCATACAGGACATGCCAGCAATGATGACAATGATGCATTTGTTTCTGAGGCCTTGGCCTTCACCAGTGGGGTCGCCTCGCCACTTGCAGAGAAAGGTGGCTATACATATATAACAGAGCATGTGCCCTTCGGCTGCAGTAGACCTCATTGCAACAAACAGCACGTACTTGAAATTTAATAGATTCAGACCCGCCCTTCGATTCGAATCCTGGAAGGGTTCTCTTCTGAACCACCCACGTTTGTCCGACTTGTTGATGCAAACTGCCGCCAACCGAATCCCCTGTATCTAGATCCTCAATCCGCCGAATGTCTGCCACACACCATTCGTGAGGTAGGCTCAAAATTTCCGGATTGCACGACGCCTTGTAATTATTTCTGATAACCTTCATATTTCCATGACCCTCACAATCTGAATTGTATAAGCCCGGGCGTAGTCTTTGTAGTCGCCCCTGCAATCCACGCGACAATCTGTAGCACCAACATTCGCAATGTAGGGAGCAAGTGTTAAGTTCAGAATTTATAACTTTACAAGCCGTCGTAATCTAAATCCATAACTAACCTCAAATATACTTCACGACTGCACTTTCGGCGCAATGTTCGGGCGACCCTGACCGATCCCTCTCGAGAAACTCGCTCGCCCGTGCTGTCTGGAGGTTGTCCAAACTTCTAAGTTGTTAAAACTAGCGAGAGTTGGCCTTCCAAAACATCAAAAAACCCTGGTTGGCAAACCGAGCAAAGAATAAATAACCGATCTTACATGCAGTTGGTGTGCAAACATTGTCCACATTATGCCAAATTTACAGATCTTGCCTGGAGGAAAGTAAAGCCGCAATGCTTAATAGGCGCTTGCTTCAGCTTAATAGCGTCACGCACGGAAGGTACATGCTTCAACAGCGTGCAGTCTCCTGCGCACCTTCTTCGTCGATCTTGCCCTAGAGGACTAGGTACCAACACGCTACATCATAATTAATCTCTCAGTACGCATTCGTTGGGTTCGTGCAGCAGGCACTGCAAGGTATGTCATGTTTCCCTATCGCAAGATGTAGCCTATCCGAAGCTGCTCTTGACGTAGATGACGGAAGGTGGGCAGGGGGGTATAGTCTCGGAGAGGAGACCGTGGTTCCAACAGTTCAACCGTGACGAGGAGGACATAACGAAATTCAATCGCAAGACCGGCAATGAACTAGTGTGGGATCGAGTGTTGCTCGCATTTACGAACATCCTCATTCAGTGGGGTGACATGCAGACATCCGTTCACAGGACTAAGCTAAAAATGAGACGCACTGTCATGTATTGTGAAAGTAAAAATGTGGCAGCAAATCAATCCATGCATTTCGATAAAGTTCGTTAAGCCCAACAATACTAGTCACTGCTTATGTTTACTAGTGCGACAGCGGCCAGCACGACCGAGTCTGTACCATACCCGTGTCGCTCCCACCGCGGTGGTGCTGCAGTTGAAGAGCCCTAAGCCTCAAGCCCTTTTACCTAAAACAAGCCCATAATCACTGCAATATCCGGTAGAAGAATGCCAGGCATAATTCCGATGTCCCACAAATGCGAGTCTGTCGGAAACAGCTGTACGGCAATCATAACCCAAAGCTTTAATGGGCTATGGGACTGCAAAGCTCACTGACCTGTTTACGTAGCGTGCCAGGTTTCATGTATCAAGTCACCCTGACATCGGAACACCCACATCCTCGGTTGGTGCCGCGAAGCATCTCGGCCTGCGCATGCGAGTTGCTGCACCACCGGTTCTCAACCAGCTCCTGCCAAGGCTCGCCCACATACCTGAGGGGCACTCTTCGCTCTTCGTTGTGGTTTAGGGTTTAGGGTGTAGGCTAGGCTTTGACATACCTATAACCATCTGGGCTGCCAGATGTTGCAGCTGTTTGGGATGTGGGAGCTAGACAGCTAGACTTCAAGTTAGGCTGTGTAGGATCTTGCGCACGTTCTGCTTCTATGGTTCTGGGCTAGTTGGCTTGTTGCGATACTTAATGGGGTACCCGCTCCCAGTTTTCAAAGTAATGAAGCTTCCCCTTAGCTACTTGCAGCATCGGTTTGCCATTTGCCATTGCCGGGATCGCGTTCACGTCAAAGTCGTGAACAGAAATCCTTTACTACAGACAAAACTCAGAAAGCAGTCCTCTGAACTCCCTACACAACCTGAGGCGCACACAAACAAACACACACACACGCACCCACACACACACACACACACACACACACGCACCCACACACACACACACACACACGCACCCACACACACACACACGC